CATCCCAACATTTGGTGGCACACCAGTATCAGCCTTGGCAGGATAAATCTCCCCAGACATATCCAACGGCTGTGAATATTTAAAACTAACACGAGTCTCTATAAGTGTCCAGTTTTAGGGTCTTACACAGAATTAAACCAAACAACATGAATCAAATATGCACTTTATTTATTTCCACTAAATAACAAAAGTACATCAAAATGATTGAAGCTAAGGGCATACAAAAACTGTCTAACAGGTAACTCGTTGGCCAAACCATCAGAATCGGGCAACAACCATACCCCGGATTCACCACGAAGGAACATCTATCCTCCTAGACAAAGGGAAAGTGTGCCCACTTAGAGCAACACCACCGCTGCCGGAGGGAGGTGCCCTGGGACGATGGCGGGCATCTTGGCCGCCCTGGAGTTCGCCCCGAGGCGAGAGATGACGCCACGCTACTCCCCCTCCCGTCTCATATCTCTGGGACGTTCTGAATGATCGTCACACTCGTGGAGGAGCACGCAACCATGTCTCGGAGTATTCGGGAGTCTGAGTCAACACCCACCGATTCCACGAGGACACAAGCGGGGCCCATGCCCATGCTGACCTAGGGCTTGCCAAGATTGGGGCCATCAAGGATGAGCTCCACCAGGTTAAGGAGAGCCGAGCTGACGCCTCAACCAGTCATGGCAACTCCACTAACCACATGGACGCATTTACCCTAAAAATCATTTCAGAGCCCCTCCCCCCACACTAGAAACGTATGACGGGAGCACCAACTCCGATGACCACCTAGAGGTTTTCAGGGCGCTCATGATACTCTATGGGTATTCCGACGCCTTGACCTTCCAGGCCACCTTCAGGGGGGCCGCTTGCCGCTGGTTCTCTGGCCTCCCTCCTCGATCAATCAACTCATGGGAGCAATTTACAACTTTGTTCCTCACCTGCTTAATCAGTAGTAGACAATGCCAGAAGAGCGTAGTCTCTCTAATGTCACTCAAGCAGAAGCTGGGTGAAAGCATGCGGTCCTACAATGACCTCTTTAAGAAGGAAGAGCTTGAATTTCGAGACCTCGACCCTATGGTCTCCATACACGCCGCCATTAACGAACTTTGCCTCAACTCAGCCCCAAGTGCTCGGTCGCCAATACCCCACTGAAGACTAAGCTCGAATATCTTAAGAAGGCCCAAAAATACATCGCGGCCAAAGAGGCTTCGGCTGGGGACAACCAAGAAAGGGCAACCGAGCACCACGACGGGCCCCTGGAGAAGAAGTGGAAAGGCGGGCACCAGCACCACCCCGACAACTATGGCGGCAAAGACAACAAGAAGCCATCGGCCCGAGCCTTGGCTTACAAGGACTACACGCCACTCAACTCCACCTGCACTCAGATACTGATGTAGATCGGGGAGGAGAAGTTTGTGAAGTGGCCAACGAACTTGAAGCAAAACCCCAAGATGGGAAACCCTATGAAGTACTGCAAGTCTCATCGCGACACCGGGCCTGACACTAAGAACTGCTACGATCTAAAGAACGAGATAGAGTCCCTTATCCGCTGCGGGCACCTCAAGTAGTTCGTCAGAGGAGAGGCCGATGCCTCGTCCTCCTAGCAGCAGCATCAGCAAGTGGCAAGCGCCATCGATGTCATCGCCAAGGGCATGGCCTTAGGTGGAGCCTCAGCCTCGGCTCGAAAAGCCTACGCCAGGCAGCTTAACATCCAGGAGCCTGTTCCGAAGAAGCAGAATTACCAGGACGCTCCGCAGAGGCCGAGCTGTCCACATGCCCTCTTCTTCCCAAACGAGGACTTAGAGGGGGTCACAATCCCCCATGACGATGCCCTCGTGGTCGCAGCCATCATCTCCAATTTTTTGGTGAAGAAGATCTTGGGGGGTAGTGGCTTGTCAGCCGATATCCTTTTTTACGACACTTATGAGAG